ATTAATTTGGATATATCAACAAAGTTGAAATGGTAAATTGGCCACCGTAACGATTACAAAAGCTGACGTTTCGAGCGTTAGCCCTTCGTCAGAGCAAATAGAGGAATTGTGGGTTGTGTGTGCTTTTAAAGGCAGAAAATGGAGCTACGTAGCCGGGACTTTGTGTTGTGTTGTGTTCTTAGGCAAGACACTTTACTCTCACAGTGCCTCTCTTCACCCAGGTGTATAAATGGGTACCGGCAAATTTAATGCTGGGGGTAACCCTGCGATGGAACTGAATCCCATCCAGGGGGGAGTAGAAATACTCCTAGTCGCTTCATGCTACAGAAACCGGAGTTAAGCACCGGGCTAATGGGCCACTAGGCTCGTAAACAGACTTACCACTGACGCAGCCCCAAACAGTTTCTTTAGAAACTATCAGCCTTTAGGTCTTTGAATTGTCCTTTTTGATATGTAGATTGAAAGAGTGTACTATCCGGGATTGCCTTCTCATCCTCATCATGAAATTGCTAAGAAGCAAATGACAGGCTTTAGTGGGATGCTGTCCTTTGAAGTGAAAGGAGGCAGAGCAGAAGCAACAAGACTTGTTGAGGTAAGAAAAGCAAGCGAAGGATTGACTGTCAAAACATTGTGAGGAATTTCTCTCGTTTATTTCAGTATTTGCTGTGGTTTATTTGGTTCAAAAAAGGGAGCAAGAAATAACACGATTCATTCACCTATATTAGACATACAAGTCTCTAATAAAACTGACAACTTCACTCACTCTTTCAGAGCATGAATCTAAGCTATCTTAGTTGATTTGTTGTGATTTGCTTGATTGACAAAATAAAACAACTGACATCACTACTACATAGGGTAAAAAATCAACTTTGACAATGTCTTTACACCAATTCGACTATACAGACAGCTTTGCCTGGGATTTCTGTTTCTTATGTTTTATTTCCCTTGATCATTTTGACTGAGGAGTTAATAGGGTTGCGGGTGACGCTCCATATAAAACTCTAAAAAGTGTCCCGCTCCAAACGTGTGGCCTCGTAACCTAGTTGATGGTAGTGCCTGAAAAACGTATCTGGGATGCACGGGTTAGAATCCCGTCGAAGCCTGAATATTTTTCAGGCTTCTTTCCTGGAATTGCTTTAGTTGCAGGTCACCAGCGAGGATCACTGCTTTACTTGATTTTCATCCGCAGGTCAAATGAAATTTATCTCATTGGGAATTATGCTCCAACTTTTGTTTTGTTTTGATTTTGTTTTCGCGTCCAAAAGCTCTGAAGCGTATGATACCGTTGAAAAAGGAAGGATTCTATTGTTCTTTTTTGTATCTAGGCGTTATGATGGACGTGGTACCATTTCCACCTTGCATTACTAAAGAAGATAAAAAGAGATTAGAAACTACGACGGTAAGGAAGCTGTGTCGCCGGGAACTCGAACCCCGCCTTACCTGCAGAATAGAAATGCCAATTGCAAATGGTAAAAGTGTTCAAACAAGGTGCATGCCAAATGGTTAAAGCGTTCAAATTTTACTGCGTATGTGCAGATGATCCATGAGAAGGTCCATTAAAGGACCCCATGATGATCGAAGAGACGTTTAGGTTAAACCGACAGTCATGGAGTACACTTGGAAAAAATTGTCCAGGATGTAGCAATGGATAGAACCCAATGAATTTGCTTTGTTTGCAAGATGAGGAGGCCAGAGTGACACCCAATGAAGGGGATCAGTATATCAGTTTACTGAGGTTTCTCTCACAGTGCCTCTCTCCCCCCCCCCCAGGGTAGGAAGGAGTGACAGGAGAATGTCGCGAAACGTGACGAAATTCCGGGGGAAGGGGTAACATGGAATGTCCTGGCATACCATCCAGGTGGAGTAGCAATACTCCCGAGTCTCTCTTGAAGTTTTGTGAGCCATTCTCATATACAGTGTTTTCTACCCCCTTGAAAGTGGCGCACGTAACGTAAAACTACCTTTACATTTTGCCGACAGAATGTGAAGCTAGTTAAGTTGGCGGTCTCTCTTGGTGGAGTTCAGAGCCTGGTGGAGATAGCAACCGCCATGACGCACCCTGAAAAATATGTGTCGGTTGAAGAGAGGAAGGAGACTGGATTGAAGGAATCGCTTATCCGATTCAGGTACGTATAAGAAGCTACATAAGGGAACCTAAGTAGGAGTGAAATAGTTAGCGACAGCGCATCTGGCGCGGGGGGGGAGTTCAGGGGGTCTAGACCCCTCAATAGTCCTTTTTACAGTTGTGGGCTTGGTGGCCAAGCCTTTGAACAGGAGTGAGGCTAAGGGTGACCTTGTTATGATAGAGATGTTGCTGCTTTTCAAATGTAAATCACTTTGTTATCATGCTTACTAGATACAGGTCTCTATCACAACAGGGTCACCCTTAGCCTCACTCCTGTTCAAAGGCTTGGCCACCAAGCCCATAACTGTAAAAGGGACTATTGGACTTTTTTCACTTTTTGTTTGAAACCTTAATTATTGTGAGGTATAGGGTTGTGGACGACAGGAACGGGGAATCTTTGTGTCTATTTTGTGACAATTTGTAACTACGTTTGATGTTTTTCGCAGTGTTGGCTTGGAGAATGCGGAAGACTTGAAGAAGGATCTCGAGCACGCACTGGAGAAAGTGTAATAGCAAATTTTTCAGCAAACAGTGGCAAATTCAAACTCATAGAGGCTTAGAGGCGATAGGAATAGAATATATTGTAACAGTTTATGCACTCGAGATCAAATGATCTTACTATTTAACTTGCACTTCCAAGAAAAGGACTTTGAGATTGTAAAAGTCTCCCTATAAGGCAGGACCTTACAATGTTTCAGGATTACTAAAGATAATAAATGTGACGCATTCTGCACTCAAAACGTGTTTCGTGTGACGTGTTATCATCGTAAAATAACTGAGATACTACGAACGGCTTGTTTAGTCAAAAACCTGTCGTTTATTTCACTGGTAAACCCATAGAAAAATTGATCTTTTTTTGTCATTTAACCAAAAGACTGCACTTTCTTTTGGTTTACCGACGTAATAGCTCTCTTGGGATGGTAGGAGAACACGAGAACAGTTTCCCATCACCCTGCCTGAGATATCACGTCGGCAAACCTATAGAAAGTGCGGTCTATCGCTTAAAAAAGGGTGAGATATTGTAACTGGAACAGTGTAATTAGAACATTTTCAAGCACGTTATTTTCCTGTCCACTAAGAACTAACATCGTGTTTTCAAGAAAGTTGCTCGATAAAAGGCGTCCCCCTCCTTTTCTCCATTCTACTAAGGAAGTACCAAAAATGTGGGTCCAACAATGTGGGTGTGGGTCCACCAATGTGGTCGTGGTTCCATCACTGTGGGTCTATAAATGTGGGTGCAAAAATGCCTGTCTTAAATACACTTCCAAATGTTTTTTTTTTAACACTTTCTTAAATCGTCTTAAACTGCAATAGTCCCTTTTACAGTTGTAAGCTTGGTGGCCAAGCCTTTGAACTGGAGTGAGGCTAAGGGTGACCGTGTTGTGATAGAGACCTGTATCTAGTTAGCATGATAACAAAGTAATTTGCATTTGAAAAGCAGCAACATCTCTATCATAACAAGGTCACCCTAAGCCTCACTCCTGTTCAAAGGCTTGGCCACCAAGTCCACAACTGTAAAAAAGACTATTCGAGAATTGTACTCCTAATATCCTTCCCAGTTCTTTCCTACATTGCATTCCAAGTAATCTCGATGCATGTGGCTGAAATCAATTAAATTTCATAAATAAGGCCAAAGAGTAAAGACAGGCGACCTTTTCTAGGGGCATAGTTTGTATTCTTCCAACACCATCAGTCTTCTGTCAAGAGGTAGATAACATGGTTGGGTGCTTAGGAGTTAAATCGACCGACTGCGATTACGACAAATTATTTTGATTGATAAGTAATCTTTAAAGCAACGAGCGCTATCCAGTTGAGTCTCGCGCATACATGCCACACATGGAGTTCTGCTGTACTTGCCTGCACCCACAGAGGAGGTATAGAAATCAAATCTTTAGAAAGAAAAAGTTGAAAAAGGTTGCCGCTGTGAAAGCAAGTGAGAATTTTCGATTTTATCAAAAAATGCTAGAGTTGGAAGGTTCAGTTATATGTTTAAAAAGTCTTGGGAAATTAATGAATAAAAAAATAACTCCACTTACGACACCTTGTAAAGCCATGGAAATACATGACATTCTAGAAATCATAATAGTGAATCGACAGTGGTATCCTGTTAATACGAGCTTGTTAATCTCTTTGTATACTTCTAGAGGGTAAACCCTCAAATGTAGCTTTAAATCTGGTATCCGAAGTTTCATGGGTCTACAGTATTTGACCCCCTCCCCCCCCCAAAAAAAACAAACAAACAAAAGAAGGTAGAGAGCGTGCTCATTCCCCGATCAGGGGCCTATAACCGAGTAGAGTACCTCTTAGGAGTGAGGAACTTAAGGGTTACTTCATCAAAGGTTGTGTGTAAAGTCTTACCTATTTATAAAAAGAGAGCTCAACAGTCACTAAAAACCTTTTAAAACAGGACGATTTGTTGCTGCACTTGTCTTTTCTTATCTCTCGCAATCAGCTTGCCCGAGTTCTTTCGTAATCATTCTTCAAAAATTATCCTCATATGAAAATTAATTGAAAAAATGCAAAAAGTGAGAAATAAAGTCCTAACGAGCTATGCAAAGCTATAGGATTCCTCATGCCTTCATTGCGATTACTATTGGCAAAAACGTCTACTGTGAGACACGAAGTTTTAACAAACCATGTGATGCCTTCAGGTGCCTGGTGCCCCTTGTTAAAAAGGTTTGGCCTAATGACCCTAGTTTTGACCAACCTGCCAGAAGAATTTAACACACTGTGTTTCCGTCGGACTTAACTCTGTCCTCGTACCGCGCGTTCATCAAATGTGAGGTTACTGATCTAACTTAAGTATATCACTGAAACATTCGCATTATTCTATGTTTGCTTATCAAAAGAATTGGTTTTTGTTAGGAAAGATGATCCCATAAATTATTTACATATTACTTGGTTGGTACTTCACACGCCAGAAACTCTCAAAGCACATCCGCGGGTGACGAACAAAGAGAGAAGGACCTTGAGTTGGAGAAGGTGAGACCCAAATGTTAACATTGCAAAAGATCCTTACAAGAAAAATGTTAAGATGTACTATCCTTGACAGCATCACTCAATTGCGTTAAAAAAATTTGGAAACCTATAGTGTAGTGTAGTGTACAGTAGTGTAGTGGCAACATTGAACAAAAATTGAACCGATTGCCTTTTTGGAAGGACAACCATTTTTTCAGTCACGTTTTAGCAAGAAGGATAAAAGAAATATAATGCTTAAAACTTTTTTCTTTCATTTTTTCAGTATTAACGTCTAGCTTTCATCATGAGAGGGCCATTTTTATTTACCATTTGCCTATCAGCCGTAGCGGCCCTAATTACAACAACTGAGGGAAAACGTGTTTTATCGACGAAAGAGGAAGAAACAAAAGATCACGCTCTTCGTACTCACGAACACGAATCTCACGATCACGAATCTGGCGTTGGAGAAGAGGAAGGCTCGTTAGATTGGGGCAGTGGCACTGGCTCGGGTTCTGGTAGGAATTTTGATTTATTTCAATAATGTTTAAAAAAATTGTAATTGGTAAAGGTCCTTATGACATAAAGGTCTTAAATTTGGCACGTTGTAGCATGAGGGCTGGTTCTCACTCGCTACCCTTATCAAAATAGATTCAGTTCCCATGGTGTCTAGTTGTAGAACAGTCCTTATTCCTGGGTTCCTTCGATCAATTCTGAGAAAAGACCCTCACAACATTAGATAAAAAGTAAATCATTTCCGAGAGGTGTTGGTGATGACAAAATGACACCACATGTCATAGGGCGTGACCAACCTGTTGGTCCTTTTCATGAGAGGATAAAAAACTTACAAATTCATCGTGTCTTTTCGTAATCTTATTCAATGTAACCACCCTGTATTACATCCACTTTTCTAAATCTCGGCTAAGCGCACAGACGCCTTTCACTTTTGAACGTCAAATTATAGTCTTGATGGCAGTAATGATGATTTACGGCATTTCTTTAACCATTCGCTTAACAGGAAGAAAGGACGCATCCGTAGGTTATCCCGGGGGATACCCCTCTCCGTATCCATCCCCGTATCCCTCTCCGTATCCATATCCATCACCGTATCCATCCCCATATCCATCACCGTATCCATCCCCATATCCATCACCGTATCCATCCCCATATCCGTCGCCATATCCATCACCATATCCCGCGGCTCCCGCTCAACATCCCTCCCCGTTCCCTTCTCCGTACCCAATGCCGTATCCTGCTCCCTACCCCACGCCCTATCCTGCTCCCTACCCCTACCCTGCGCCCTATCCTTACCCCCGCCCGTCACCAGCTACGAGTGAGGAGGAAGAAGAAGAGGAAGAAGAGGAAGAAGAGGAAGAAGAGGAGGAGGAGAATGACAATCCCAGACATAAGAAGCGCCGCCGTCATAGGAAACCCAGTAATGATAAGAGGAAAACGGAACAGTGAAAAACAATCACTTAGAGACAAACTCGTTGAATAAAGGTTTTCAAGATGAATTCTGTCTAAAAAAATGCATACCAGCTGTGGTAACTTTAATCAGAATGCAATAAAAACGTTTTCACACAAAAATACATCTTTTCTCTTTTCGTACATTTTAGTTACCATAACATTTTTAACAAATGAAAGTGTGTCGCTGGCTTGTTTGGACGAATTTTCCTGATAGCTCAGCGGTTTCTAGCTATTCTTTATCCTTTTCTACCCATTATTCGAATGAAAAACTGTATGGCCCGGGATGCGGGTCCAGGGTGCGGGTCCAAGGTGCGGGTCCAGGGTGCGGGTCCAGGGTGCGGGTCCGGGCTGCGGGTCCGGGCTGCGGGTCCGGGCTGCGGGTCTGTGGTGCGGGTGTGGGTGCGGGTCCGGGTCCGGGTCCGGGTCTGGGGTGCGGGTGTGGGTGTGGGTCCGGGGTGCGGGTCCGGGTCCGGGGTGCTAGTCCGGGTCCGGGGTGTGGGTCCGGGGTGCGGGTCCGGGGTGCGGGCCTGGAGTGCGGGCCCGGGGTGTGGGCCCAGAGTGCGGGCCCGGGGTGCGGGCCTGTGGTGCGGGTCCCGGTGTCAGGTGAGTCCAGGTCAGTACGATCCGTTTTGTTGTCTGTCACGTTCTTCAGTTGATAGAAATGTATATTCGCGGAGGACACAACACACACGAATCTAATCATCCTCCACGCTACTTTAATAATAAATCCCAACTTCCATTTCGTGCTTTCTTATGTCATGTATGGCACACGAAATGTACCTTACAAACACAACATTGTCGAGAGTGACTGTATAGCTATGAAAGGAGTAAAAACTTGATCAAATACTATTAAAGGAATGAACAAAAAAAAGGCAGAAATAAAGAAGGAATAAAGATTTGACGGGGCCTGAGCAGTTTAAAACCCGTAATTAAGCTTAGGTTTCCTCAGATTAAACTTCCTACAAAGTGACCAATTTATTTTGATACCGTGAACTGCTGCTTATAAGCCCTGGGCTAATACAACTACGTAAAGGGTGTCAGGAGAGTATAAACGGAGGGCCTTACATCCGAGGAATAAAAAATAGCCATAATAGAACTTAAAAGCGCTAGGAAAAGAGTTAAGGCAGTGCTGATCAACATACCTTTTGCATTTAGTGGTTTTTAATCAAGCTTCAATCGATTCCCTATCTCTCAAAACAAGAACGCTAGAGGAAGACCCATATCAAAGGAGGCTTAAAATCGGATGTAGATTTTGTTACAGGTAGATGAGCCTGTAACTGGGGGGAGGGGGGAGGGGAGGGAGGGGAGCGAGGGTTACTGTGAGAGTGGTACCTTTTACACAATTTACGGTATCTTATTTGAATAGCGAGTGAGGACGTGGATACGGACATGCATGCAAGAACCCAGCGTTCGCTGGTCGAAAACTGCGAAGAGGACTCCCAGCATGTGCGCATAATGCATTATGGTCGTCTATGATCCTTTGATTTCAAAAAGGCGGCAAACGCTGACGGCCATATCACTGTCATGTTATATTTGCATCTGATTGGTAAGGGGCATTGTGTCAGGTTTTTGAAACGGTCAGACAGCTTATTGTATGTGGGCTCATAAAGAGGAAGGGTTCCTACAGCTGGAGTTAATGCGGTTCGCCCGCAGAGATGAGTCGCACCATTCATATCAAAACCGAAGATGCAAAGCATTACTGAGTCAAGAACTATTCTAAATCGAGAACTGCTTTAATAAACTTGAGGTATAATACGCAAACTGAGACCCTGGGTTACAAAATCATATTGCAATCGCAGGTTTTTCACAAGAAAAATTAAAAATTTAAGTTCTTATGGCCTTTACGACTCGTGACCGAAAACCTCGTTCCCACGACTTTTTCCTTGGAATTGGCCGTTAACCAATTTACAAGGGAAAAGCCCTAAGGGCGAGGTTGATGAATGAAACAATTGCATTGAATAAGAGTTCGACTTCTACAAGACTAACAGAACAGGAAAACTTTGGTAGTGTCAGATTCATACAGCATATCTACTTAATGCCAGGTCCACTTAATACAGGTTTCACTGTAATTTGCAATAGTACATGGAAGGTAAACCAGGACAAATTTTCAAGCTCACGAAGTTTTAAGATCCGGAATGTAAGCCAAAAAAGTTTCCTTTTTCTCATTTTGAAAATATGTGGTTGCATCCTCCTCTGCAAATTCACTTTTTTTACGAGACAAAAATGTCCTAACCAAATAATCTTTCACCAGAAGAAAACGAACTATTAAAAGGAAAGGATTTTGTCCAATTTTCTTCCTCGCTGACTCAGTATACCCCAGCTCTCCCTCCACTGGGTTCTGATACAGTTCTCAACTTTACACGCAATAGTATTTTCGAAGATTATTGATTGGGGGATAACGTCATACAATCACCCAGAAAGAGGTGATTATGACACTGGAGCATTATTTTTAAAAGGGCGATTTTCTTTGCTTGTTTGTTTGTTTCAACTGTTCTTGAAGGGCAGCAAAGAAACTATGATAAAAAAAAACAAAAACAAAACAAAAAACAAAATAAGAAAATACAGTTGCTTCGAACTGAGTCACCTACAATTAACGTGCAAAACGATATGCCTCAGGCCAAGAGAACTTCGTCGAAAATTCCCCGCGACTTCGTGTTGGGAATCAATCAACAATATTCAGTTTGCCTTCGGCAGGAAACGAATCTGGTTCATGTCACAGGCTTTCACTTGTCCTCTGTCTCAGGTTTCAGCTTGCCTTCTGTTTAAGGCTCAAATTCGTCCTCCGTTCCAGTTTCTAGTTCATCCTCTGATTTGTACCACCATTTTCCTTTCCAAAAATCGTCTGTTGGCCACTCGCACTCAGGCTTAGGGTTTCCTTTCTCCTCCTATCAAAAAAAGAAAATATCCTTTTCGTTACTGAAGGTCATATTTATTTGTGGTCCTTAATGGCAAAAAATAATACGACGTTGACATAATATACTTCTTACTTACTAATTGCGAACGCAGTAAAGAAGGGCAGATACCAGTACTTAATACTGCGAGCCAATAAGATTAAACTACCTCACTAATGTTAGCCAATCAAACCTAACTGAGCAAGTTGTCAAGGTTCAGCTCAAAAGCTAGACTCTTGCTTCGAAGTTGTGCCTAAGGCTGACATTTACTGATTAATTCATGTCTGAGTTTCTAGTATTTTGGTATTGACACAAATAATTATTAAAAGGACTTTGTGTTGTACAGTTTACCGGAAATCGTGCTCCTAATCTCAAATTAAACACACACTGCAGGATTGGATAGTCTAAATGATTCACTCGACTACTTCCTCATTTGAACTATTACCATGTCTAAACTCACATGGTAACACGACCCCAGACTAGTGATCTTACTCTTACGCACTACTCTGGTCAAATCTTCCACTTGTTCCTTACTCATCTTCACACCTCCAAGGCGAAGAGTTTCTAGGTGAGGAACCAAATGGATATGTTCCATAAGAGTGTTTAGTCCGTCACGAAGGGGGTTGTGTGACAGGTAAAGCTCACGCAAGTTAGGTGCCCGTTGGAAAGATTTGGCGATGGCAGGAGCTGGCCCTGCAGTGATATTGAAACGACATAGTCCTAATGTGTCAAGTCTGTTTGTAAAGTTGAGATGATACACCAGCGTCTCCAATGTGGGGGCATCATACAATTTACCCACTGGAACATTCAGGGTTATGACTCGGGGTGAAATCACATAAGGAAGGGCCTCTATGAGCATCTTCATTTCTTGCTCTTTTAAACAATCAATACTGATCTCTGAGGCTAATGAAAGGCAATGACGAGGGGGAACAGGAGAGCTATCGGTGTTCTCTGTCAACCGCAACGCTGTGTTGTTTGGTCCATTTGACCGGTCGCCGAATGAGATCGTCTTTGTCTGATCGGATGCAGGTGACTGAGTGACATCTTGGATCATTTCGATAGGCAAGGTGTGATCATACCTTTTACAAATGCGAGAAAAATAAAGATACATGAACGAATTATTTTCTCTCTTCAAGAAAAATTGTTCCACTGTCTGTGGATTATACTTCTTGAGAAACATCGAGGCTGTCTCTTCACCTGAAGAGCTAACAAGAATCCCACTCAAATCTTCTAAAACGGTGATCAGGTCGCGATAGTCTCGGTCTGGATGCTTGCTATCGGTGAAAAATACATAGTTTGGTGGTTGGGAGCATTTCAGCAAATGCTCGCTGGCAGTAATATGGAGTTGATCTGAGTCTATCAGTAAAAAGCCTCCGGTACAAGACAGATACATGGAGTAAAGATCTTTTCTCTTCTCGACTGATAAGCAAAAATAGCTGTGTGAACACAGTGCAAGAAAATGCCTTTGTTTCTCTGAAAAGTCTTCAAATGAAGGTGTCTCGCTGGGAATGTTTTCCGTCAGTCTTTCTTTCTTTGCTACCGTCTCCAGGTGCTTGAGGACTATACTTGAGGCTTCTCCAGACAATTCATTGACAAATTTGAATACTTCAATCATCTTCACAACCTTTTCGGAAGATTCATCCTCGGTGAGACAGCTCGGACTTTTATTTCTCGAAGTTGCAAGTTCGTCCTTGACGTACCAAGCCGCAAGGAACTCCTGGACGGACTTATGAATGAAAAAAACCTTCTTCTCAGGCTTCAGACTTGAGACATTCAGAGATTGAAATAAACCCATGTCAATCAGTTCCTTGGTTAAAATGTCATCAAGTAGTTCGCTGTGGTGTATAAAGAGAGAACCTTGGTTCAGGGCGTCAAATGCAAGTTTTCCCAGTTTCAAGAGATCTTCTTTGTAGTCATCTACTTCACGGAATTTCTTTGCATATGCTTCTTTAGCAGTCATGTGACCCAGTAACATCTGAATGAAATGAATGTAGATACTGGCCCGTGATTTGAGATGTCCTTTGTGACCTTCCTCCTTCCAAAGTAAGCACAGCATCACTAGAAGAAGTGGTATTTCTGCAACGTTTCTGAGGCCTTTTTCCTCTAGATGTCTCTCAAACCTAGCAACGTCTTCTTCATCTTTCAGAAACTTTCTTGCAAACTTTCTTAGTTGAATACCACTGACAAACCCATTAATCTGGCATCCAACGTGACTGGATTCCATCAATTCTTCTGCCTCTTCCAACCGCGTTGTGACAATGACAGAACAACTCCTTAGCAAACTACCCTCCCAGAGGGCACGGACAGGTGAGTATCCTGGACAGAAGTACTCATCATAACCATCCACGACCAGCAGAACTTTTTCTTGGTTCTCTTGAATGTACTCGTACAAGCTCTCAACTGAGATTGTGCCATCAGCTGGTAACAGTCTTGCAGCCGTCAAAATATCTGGCAGAGTATGCAATTCACACACATCTCGCAGCTTTATAAGAAGCACAAGCTCAAACTTTTTGAGGATTTTCTTTACTCGACGTAACCAGTCGAAAACAACTCTTTTGGCAAATGTAGTCTTCCCTATGCCTGGTGGCCCAAACACCAATATTCGGTTTGGTTCGTCGAAAGGCCCACAACTCTTAAACATATCAGTGTAGTCTTCTAGGTCCACTTGACTCACTTCGCTGGGTCTCCTTTCTTCCCTTTGCCATGACAACTTTGTGTAAATTTCATTGATATAAACTGCAGAACTTGGCTTCCAAGGAATTAATTTTACTTTGCAAATGGTGCGGTAAAATGAATTAAGCTGTTTCTGGTACTGCTTAAGATCGAAGGGTACTAGAAGTCAAAAAAGAAAAAAGAAATAAAAAACCCCTCACTTTCATTCATCCACACCCAAACCCCTACTCACAATTTCCTTCACTTCAATCTTTTCCCCTAAACCCTCCTTCTCCTCCCATATTTAGCCCTTGTTAGGGTGTGGTGTGTCTTAGGCCGAGGAGTAAATGGTAAATAATCATCAAATTACTAAAAAGTAAATATATAAACAATGGAACAAACAATAACGACGTACTAAAAATGGGGTTGATAGAATAAGAGCCTCTTTTGCTTATCTTCACTCTAGGTAAGTTACTAAACATTATGATGTACCACCCACAAGAATAGATAAAATGGAAGGGAATAAATATAAGGAAGAGAAAGGAAAGACGTGAGGCGTGAAGGAAAGCAAAAAGAAAAGGAGAAAAAATAGGAAAAAGAAAAGGAGAAAGAAAGGGAAAGAGAAAAGGAAAAGGAACGGAGAGAAGTAGGAAGGGGAGAGGTGCGAAAAAAGGGGAAGAAGGAAGAAAAGTAAGGAGAGACGGTATTAGGGAAGAGGGGAAAGAGAAACTCAAAAGGTGCTAATTTTGTAGATGAAAATTGCACACGAAGGGTACAGTAAAACTACTCAAACCTTTCAAAAGTGACTTTTATATTACTTACTTGCTAACCGCATCTTGTTCTCCGAATTGGTCAAATCCGATAGTTTTCTGTCTATCTCATCTAGTTTGCCTTTCACGCTTTCCTCCTCATTCCTCCATTCTTTGAACAGCTCCTGATAAAGCTTTTCTTTTTCAGGGTCCATGCTCTCATTCGCAAGACGATCAATGGTACCTCCATAATTTGAACTTGCTCCTGCCAGCCGCACCAGCGTATCTCTGATCTCCTGCCAGTAGCGAATAAAGCTTGCATCGTCAATGGACGCCACGCTGACGTGAGCATAGACTGTGTTTCTGTAGTACTTGACCCGAGCAATGTCGGCCTCTAAACTTGTGTCTGCTAATTTCGGAAGAACATCCCAGCCAGTGGCAGGTCGGAGCAACATGCAGATATTCCTGAGTAGAACCATCAGAAGGGTTACGTCAAAGTCGACAGACGAAACAGAAGCGGGATTGGTAGGATAAAGTTTGCTCCACTGAGTTGGACTGATTATTCTCTTCTTTCTAAGTGTCAGCAGTGTACTTTGAACTGCACTCTGTGCTAACACTGTGTGCAGGCTGTTTGGTGGGTGAATTCGATCAAACACCTTTCGCAAAACGTCTGTTCCTACATCGACGAGAAGGCGGCATAACCGAGCATCATTAGTTGTTTCTCTGGTGGAAGAAAATAGTGCAGATGCCATGATGAGCTGAAACATAATAATCACAGATGTGTCCATAACGGCGGAACGACGGCAACATTACATAATCCAAATGATTTGTTCAGTAATAAATGAAGAGTTAAACGTTTCGCCTACCGAGGATCTCGCCCCTGTAATTTTTCTTATCTTACAGAAGGGATTAGTGCAAAATGCGAAGAGAATATTTCATTAAAACGATTCAGTGGAGAACTGAAGACAATTAACATTAATCTTCACTGTACCAGTAATCGGAGACATCGATCAAATTTCTTCTCCAGCGAACTTTAAAAATGGCAGCCCACGATTACAAAGGATTGTATGGCATAATATAAAAAAATTCAGATATCACGCATATTAGAAAAACTAGCCTGCTTCCCTTGATCTCAATCGAACGAGCAATGTTTTGGTGTTCAAATCGCGGACAAATCGCGATTCAAAATTTACCGGTAAACAGTCGCTTAATGTCTCATAAGCTCTATAATTTTGGTAAATATTACATACCAAAAACTCCATTTTGGAGCTCAAATCTTGCCCAGGGACATCTTCCCTCGATCTCCATCGCTTCGTGATGAATTAATGCCCCAGATTTGGTTCGAGATATTCCGCAACTCGATGAAAACCCTCGGACAAATTTAAAGGTTTGATAGTGATATATTTTGCCCCTATACTCTTGACCGCCATTGTGCGACTTTGTACGAAATTGCTAAAACGT